AACAACACCAATAACAAAAATAACAACAACGGCATACACATCAGCATCATCATCGTCATCATCATCAGCAGCATCATCATCATCGTCATCAGCATCAGCATCAACAGTATACGAATCATCATTATCAGCAGAAGCATCATCATTATCATCAACCTCCGTAGCAGCACCAACAACAGCAATAAGCTTAAAGCTGATCGAACTTCGCTGCTCGCGTGTCAATCAACACGTATACTCAAACCCTCGATATCCGCCTTCGTCTTCTTCGATCGTAACCCCCTTTGGGGGTATTCCTTCCTTGCCTGCCACGTTCTGCTGGTGCGGGCCCTGACATGGGAGGAGGAGGAGGAGGAGGAGGAGGAGGAGGAGGAGGCAGAAGGAAAAGGGACAGAGCGAGAAAAGGAGGAAAAGCGAGAAGGGAGGGAGGCGAGAAGGGCGAGAAGGGCGAGAAAGGAGGGAAACGAGAAGGGAGGAAAATGGGAAGAGGGAGAAGAAGCGAGAAGCGAGAAGGGCGACGGAGATTTAGCAAGAGGGGGTGGAAGGATGAACAATCATCTTGACGTGCGGACCCTGACGGGCGGGCCGGCCGTAACGGGCGGGCCGGACGTAACGGGCGTGTCGGGCGGGCGGACCGTAACGGGCGGGTCGGGCGGGCGGGCGGGACATCAAAGCGGGCGGGTGGTCCTCCTCCTCCTCCTCCTCCTCCTCCTCCTCCTCCTCCTCGTCGGTTCGGGCCGGCGGATCCTAATGCGCGGGTCGGGCGGGTGGACCCGAACGGGCGGGCTTCCAAGCAGGCGAACGCGCGGACCCTAACAGGCGGGTCGGGCGGGCTGACTCTGACGGGCGGGTCGTGCAGGCCCCAACGGGCGGGTCGGGCGGGTGGGGCATTGAAGCGAATTTCAGAAATTGCGAAGATCGGGGGCGCGCAAAGATGGATTAGCGATCCATGGATTTGGCGCGCGGTCACCAAATCCATGGATCGGGGAAGGTGCCCTCCCCAAAATGCGGCCGGTGCCGCCTCGTTCGGCGGCAGAAATCCACGATTTCCCCTGGAAACGGGACACGTCGTTAATCCACGCCCCTTGATCCATGTTTGCGATCGCCTGAGAAGAGGACTCAGGCGCGAGCACGAGTCCTAAGGAAATTGTGAGGCCTCGTGCGAGGGCGCGATCACTTGACGTCGAGAGCGTAGCGCCTTCACAAATTGCACGGAAGTCCCAGGCGGGAGCACACTTCCTCAGTGAATTGTGAGGAAGTCTGAAGCGAGAACACGACCTTGAGTAAGTTGTCAGAAAGTCATCCCTCCTCCTCCTCCTCCTCCTCCTCCTCCTCCTCCTCCTCTCCTCCTCCTCCTCCTCCTCCTCCTCTCCTCCTCCTCCTCCTCCTCCTCCTCCTCCTCCTCCTCTCCTCTCCTCCTCCTCCTCCTCCTCCTCCTCCTCCTCCTCCTCCTCCTCCTCCTCCTCCTCCTCCTCCTCCTCTCCTCCTCTCCTCCTCCTCCCTCCTCCTCCTCCTCCTCCTCCTCCTCCTCCTCCTCCTCCTCCTCCTCCTCCTCCTCCTCCTCCTCCTCCTCCTCCTCCTCCTCCTCCTCCTCCTCCTCCTCCTCCTCCTCCTCCTCCTCCTCCTCCTCCTCCTCCTCCTCCTCCTCCTCCTCCTCCTCCTCCTCCTCCTCTCCCTCCTCCTCCCTGCACCTCCTCCTCCTCCTCCTCATCCTCCTCATCCTCCTGTTCCTCCTCCTCCCCCCCTGCACCTCCTCCTCCCCCTTCTCCTCCAGGTCTTGTTCCTCATGCTCCTCCTCTCGACCAAGCAGTCGCCCACATGCGCCTACTCTGCACATCTTCGGCCCCAGAGCTCGCCATCGGAGGGGCGCCCCTCACGGGAGCGCGCGAACACTGGAGGAGGGGATGAGCAGCAGCAGCAGCAGCAGCAATAAGAATAAGAGGAGGAGGAGGAGGAGGAGGAGGAGGAGGAGGAGGTGGAGGGGGAGGGCCGGCAGCAGGGGGAAGAGAAACAGAGGAAGGGAGAGACGGGACTGGGCAGGCGTGGAGAGGATGGCGAGGGAAAAAGGAGGGAGGAAAGGGAAGGAAGGAAAGAGGATCCTTGCGGCCGTCGTCGCATCACGCTGCTTCAGACTGCTCACGATCCGCCAGATCACACCTTTCGGTGGCAATTCTGTACAGCTGGGCGCTGCAAGCGATTGCAGCCTCTCCAGCAATAGCACATGAGGTCATAGGGTATGCACGAGCATTCACACGCAAACATCTCTGCTTGAATGAAGCGTCGCTTACCGAAAATCACATCAGTGTGAGAAGCGTCGCTCGCGTGGAGCCTTGAATCGCCAAAAACCCTCAACCACTGGCTCTGCACCATGTCCTGCGAAAATAGACCATGACCGCACGAGCAAGAGTCAGTTGGGACACCACCAACCGAATACACCTGCAACTGACAAAGCCAAAGACTAACCATGCTGAGCCGTACGTTGTTGACCTTCTCAAGCTTGGCGATCCTGGCACGGGTCTGCTCTCCCAAGGCTGTCTCTACTTGCCATCACGCGGACGTCCGTTCCCCGTGCACTTCTCGGCTGCGTGCGTGCGTTTGTTCCTCAAGATGGTCCAGGATGCTCCAAGATGGTCCAGATGTTCTGGCGCTGACCTCGCCGAGAAGAACCCACACGTCCGAGCGATACCAAGTCTGGGCGGGATCAGAAGCGGTGGGGCACCGAAGGCTTACATAAAGCTCATGCTGCGCGTTTGGAAACTGTGCTTGAAGCTGCTATGAGGGGGTCTGCTGGTTGCGATGAAACCTGTGGCACGGCAGCAGTCATCATCCCCCTCTCTTTCGCCTCCTCCTCCTCCCTTCCTTTTCCTCATTGATAGCTCCTCCCTGTCGCACCCCGAAGCCGGTCGAAAGGGCGGGCCGAGCGTTTCGTATGAGACTTCCTCACCACCTATGATCCTGAAGCTCAAACTCTGCAAGGGTTTCACGGATGGAGGGAGGGCTGTAGTCAAAAAGTCGCTCTCGCCTTAGCGCCGCGCACATCCGTTTGAAAGGTGTACTGGAATTTCACGGATGGAGGGCGGGTCATTTTCAATATGTGCTCTCGCCTGAGCGCCGCGCACATTCGTTTGCAAGAGTTTCATGCATGGTGGGCGGTTGGTTTTAAAAATGTAGCTCTCACCTACGCCTGGCGCCCATTCGTTTGAAAAATGTGCGAGCTTCACGGATGGAGGGCGGTTCCTTTTCAAAATGTGGCTCTCGCCTTAACGCCGGGCACGTTCGTTTTAGGAGTTTACAACAGCTACACGGAGTCATGGTTAAAATCCCAGAAATGGTATTTTGGCACGATGTCGGACTGTCAGGGCGCAACAGTTACGTTGACTTGTGGTGTTGACATCCCGGGAATGGTGTTCTGGCACAATTCAAGATCGTCAAGGCGCAACAGCAATTGTGATTCGCGGCGTTGAAGTCCAGGAAATGGTGTTCTGGCACAGTTCAGGACTCTCAAACGGTTCTTTTCCAACGGGGCACTTCCTTCAGTAGAATGACTCCTGCAGGGGCCTCTGAAGAGGGAACTTGGAGGGAGGAAGTATTGCAATATCGATGATAAGTCTGGGGTTTGTCCTGTTCATCCTGCTTCACATGATCCTCCTGCTCCTCGTCTTATGTTTCTTGTTAGTATTTGTCTGAGTCGCCTTATCTTGATTTGTCGTATGAAACATATTACTTTTATTGATAATATTCCTCTTTATTCTCATCTTCCTCCTCCTCTTCCACTTCTTCCTCCTCAACATCATCCTCCTCCTCCAGGAGCCTTGTCACTGATGTTTGTCCTGATCGGACCCTCCCCTCTCCATTGAGATCCGCCACTGTGCACCCTAGCACGCTGAGGCGTGACAGAATGCCAAGTGCTGTCTGGTAGGGTTTCTGTATTCTGATCAGGGAACCCCCCCTCTACTAGCGGAGCTCTGCGTGCACCGCCCCCCCCCCTCCCGAGGCCACGATCCCTCGGCCAAAAAAGCGATGGACCCGCGCTCCCGGGACCAATCCCTTTGTAAAAAAACAACGGATCCGCATCCCGAGCTTCAACGACGGTCCAAAATGGCCCCGAGGCGGCCGAATGTAGCCTCAAGACGGCCCAAGATGTCTCCAAGAGGGCCCAAAGGGCCACAAGACAACCTCCAACAAGGTCCGAAGAAACCAAAATCCGTGATTCCATTTAGATCGTTGCGGGATGCCCGCAGTCTTGCCTTTCCCGACCCAAACAGCATCCACGATGGCCCCAATACGATCCAAGAGGCCACCACGAGGGGCCCAAGATGGCCCAAGAGGGACCCACGATTGCCCAAGAGGCACCCCAAACGGCCCCAAGACGACTCCAGAAGGCCTCCCGCGGGACCCAAGACGACATTAGACGGCCCTTTGACGGCACAAGATGGCGCCCAGACGACCCCACGACGGGCCTCAAGCACCCACGGGCCCCAAGACGGTCCAGGAGGGCCCCAAGACGGCGCAAGAGGGCCCCATACACGGACCAAGAGGGCTCCGAGTGAACCCCAGGACAAGGCAGCCACCAGACGGCCCACACGAGTTCCAGGAGAGAGCCACAAATTGTGAAGACGAAAGGTGCCAAATACAACGGCCTGCCTCTTCCTCCTCCTCCTCCTCCTCCTCCTCCTCCTCCTCCTCCTCCTCCTCCTCCCCCTCCCCCTCCTCCTCCTCTTCCTCCTCCTCCTCCTCCTCCTCATCTCCTCATCCTCCCCCCTCCTCCTCCTCCTCCTCCATTTTTCCTCTTCATCCTCCTCCTCCTCTTTTTGTTCCTCTTCATCCTCCTCCACCTCCTCCTCCTCACCACCACCAACAACAACAACAACAACAACAACAACAACAACAACAACAACAACAACAACAACAACAACAACAACAACCACAACAACAACAACAACAACAACAACAACAACAACAACTACAACAACAACAACAACAACAACAACAATAACAACAACAACAACAACCATTTTAAGGCTGTACGCTCTTACTTGCCCGCGAGTCATTCAACACGTATACCCTACACCCTCGAACCCGCCCTCTTCGTCTTCGATCACACCCCTTTCGGGGGGATTATTTCTCTTTGCTGGGGCCGGCGGGCTTAGACGTACGGGCAAACCGGAACGGGCGGACAATCCTTCGGGGGCGTACATCTCTCTGCCCGCCATTGGAATTGGCGCGGGCCCTGCAAGAGGAGGAGGGGAAGAACGAGGGAGAGTGGGAGGAAGGGGAGGGGGAAGGACGAAGGAAGAGGGAAGATACCACGTTGTGAAGGCGTCCTTGGCGCGTGCGTGGTTCCTGAGCGCCGAAACGCAATTCCAGAATAATTTGTGAGGACGTCGCACGCGAGAGCGCAGTCCTGAGTACATTGTGAGGAAATCTCGGGCGGAAGCGGGGGCCCTGACTAAGTTGCGAGGAAGTCTCAAGCGGGAGCGCCGTTCCTGAGCAAATTGCACGGAAGTCTCAGGCGGGAGCGGGGGTCCTCACTAAATTGCGAGGAAGTCTCAGGCGGGAGCGCCGTTCCTGAGTCAATTGCGCGGAAATGTCACGCAGGAGCGGGGGTCCTGAGTAAAATTCGAAGAAGTCTCAGGCGGGAGCGCCGTTCCCACGTAAATTGCACGGAAGTCTCAGGCGGGAGCGGGGGTCTTGATTACATTGCGAGGAAGTCTCAGACGGGAGCGCCTTTCCTGAGTAAATTGCGCGGAAGTCTCAGGCGGGAGCGGGGGTCCTGAGTAAAAATCGAGGAAGTCTCAGGCGGGAGCCGTTGTTGTTGTAGCCCGGGGGGCAGGGGCACAGTTTGAGCAGGAAGACTTTCCTTGAGAAAAAACAAGGTGCGAGCCCCGCGGGTGGCACTTCCATGTGCACCTGTGGGGGGGGGATCAACAATACTTATTCTTCAAGAATGAGAGTTCAACAACAGCACCACCAACACCACCACAACATCATCATCATCATCATCATCATCATCATCATCATCATCATCATCATCATCATCATCATCATCATCATCATCATCATCATCATCATCATCATCATCATCATCAGCATACTCATCATCATCATCATCATCATCATCATCATCATCATCATCATCATCGTCATCATCGTCATCATCATCATCATCAGCATCAGTATCATCATCCTCAGCATCATCATCAGAATAATAATGATAATAATCAGCATCAGCATCATCATCACGAGCATCATCATCATCAACATCATCTTCATGATCCTTCTCATCAGCATCGTCATCATCAGTATCATCATCGTCATCCTTATCACCATCATCATCAGCATCAGCATCGTCATCATCATCGTCATAATCGTCATCGTCATCGTCATCAGCATCGTCATCATCATGAGCATCATCATCATCACCATCATCATCATGAGCATCTTCAGTATCATCAACATCATCAACATCATCAGCAGCATCAGCATCATTATCAGCAGCATCAGCATATCAACATCATCATCATCAGCATCGTCAGTATCAGCATCATCGTCATCAGCATCATCGGCCTCATCAGCAACATCATCATCAGCATCATCAGCATCATCAGCATCATCAGCATCATCATCAGCATCAGCAGCATCATCATCATCATGCTCATCATCACCATCATCACCAGCAGTATCATCCTCTTTCTATTCCTCCTCCTCCACCTCCTCCTCTACCTCCTCATGGTCATCACCATCATCACGAACCAAAGCAAACAATGTAAAAATGTTCGCTCATATTAACTCGCGTGCCATTCAACACGGGTATCCCAAACCCGCTTTTGTTTCGTCCGCTTTTGTTTCGTCCACTTTTGTTTCGTCCGCTTTTGTTTCGTCCGCTTTTGTTTCGTCCGCTTTTGTTTCATCCGCTGTTGCTTCGTCCGCTTTGTTTCATCCGCTTTTGTTTCGTCCGTTTTTGTTTCGTCCGCTTTTGCTTCGTCCGCTTTTATTTCGTCCGTTTCGGTTTCGTCTGCTGTGTTTTGCGTGATTCGTGTGGAAGCTGAGGGGATGAAAACCGCATGAATGTAAACAAGACGGATTAAAACCGAACGAATTAAAACCGGACGAATTAAAACCGGATGAATCAAATTAAAACCAGACGAATTAAACTGGACGAATTAAAACCAATTGAATTTAAACGGATAAATTGAAACCGGATGAATTCAAACCGGATGACTTTAAACCGGACACGTAAAAACACATGGATCCAGCTCTGTGCAACCATGTTTGATCCCCCCTGGGTGGCCTGGACACGTAAAAACACATGGTGCCAGCTCGGGACAACCATGTTAGATACACCCCTGGGTGGCCTGGACACTTTAAAACCATGGTCCTTGTTCGGCACAACCATGTTAGATACACCCCTGAGTGGCCTGGACACGTTAACACATGCGGCCCTTGATCGGGACAATCATGATAGATACCCCCCTGGGTGGCCTGGACACGTAAAAACACTTGGTT